GATCAGTTTGGGGTAGTTAAAAATAAGGACTTGCTTTGTGAGATCTCGGTTTCCAAGATGAAAGCTAATTTGATGTGCATCGAGATCAAGCAAAGTGAGGCCAATGCCAAAGAAAAACCAACTTTAAATCTTTTGTTTGTCAGTTAATTTATAACCTCAATTATGTAATACATTATACATACATGGATCGGACTCATTGATGGTGTCTTACAACACATTTCCAAATAATGGTGATGAATTATCAACTTCTATAAATAATCAATTATATTTATAAAAAAAAAAAAGTAACTTGTTGGTAATTTTAGTGTCATCAAGCGTTATTGGCGTAACTATGATTTATTTGAGAATGATTAAGGTGACGAGGCAAACAACGTGAGTTAAAAGGTACGAAATGAACAATCTAAATGTTACCATATCACCTTAGATCATCATAAACGGGGGTAAGGGACCCGCACCCCCTTGTGGGATCCTAGATTTTTTTTTCGGGATCTAAGCTCTAAAGACTTGGATCATTATAAATGGAAGTGTGGGCTTTTGGGGGAGTGGGTCTGACCTGTAGTGGACCTGATTTTGAGCCCATCAGACTTGGAAATTGGACTTTTACATTTATTGAAAATTTAATAAATCAAAAGCCCACCAACAATTCTTTTTTTAGATAATTAATTAATTTATTCGGGTTATATTAAATAAATAATTTACTTTTAATGTAACTAATATATTAATTTCTTCTAAGATGTTATTTAATTAATTGGTTAAGAGGTGACATTTAATTATTAATGTGATTCTAAATAATTTATTTAGGACATCAAAACGTCAGGATTTTTAATAAATAGATGCTATTTAGCAAATAAAATTATATTATTTAGTTATTAAATGTTAGTTAGACATTGGGGATAAATAATGAGAGTATTGTGTATTGTTAAGGATTGACTGAGGTTGATCACTAGTTGACATTTAGGTCGACTTTTGGGAGAGAATTTAGACGCTAATGGCAAGCTATCGTATCTATAATTGAAGGTTACCATTTGGAGCAAAGCTATAACAAATTTACACGGTCAGTCAGGTGAGTCTTTTCAGTTTTCACGACATTTCACTGGAATATATATTTGTGTAGTTGTGTACAAATTATTATTTTTACATATACTAGAAGGATACTCGTGCAATGCAGCGAGATATATCTCGATTTCAATGTTTTATTTTAATTTTTTGGTCTATGTCGATGTTATAATACAAATTTATGTGGTTTTAAGCAAAACAATAATGTTTTTCTTAATAAAATATAAATTTAAAAATATCATTAAAATATATAAAAGTTCTCATTTCTTGTGTAATTTCTTTAATTCAATTTTTTTATTATAATTTTAATTTAAGTTTAATGACAAAATAATTTATATTTGGTTTAATAATAATATTTTTATAAAGATAATAACTAAGTATTTTGTTAGAACTTAATAATTATCCTAATCATATTTTAGATTTATTTAAAATGAGAATTTATTCTGCATTTGATTATATTTATCTACAGTTGGTTACACGAATTTCAATATGAAGCTTAATAAGTTGTACTTATAGACAATTTATTTGTAATTTTGAATTTTAAGTAATATGCATCATTAAGCAGTACTTTATGTATAAAAGATGATTTTTAAGAGTTTTTGTCAAATGCTTTATAATATAGTATAGATATGGTGTGTATAGATATATTTATAATTGATAAGATGTTTAATTGTATGTTATCATTAATTTGTGATTACATGAATATGGTGCTATAATTTATGGTGCAAGCATGCTAAACATTTTACATTTAACCATAAATCGCATGTATATGGTTTGGGGTAACATGAGTATGAGATACCGGCTCGATATGTCACATTTAGGGGAAGCACGACTCGGAATTGGCAGTTAATTCTTTGTGGACCTACACGCCCAAGGAATGCTTATGACATGGCAGGTCCTTACCTAACGGAGTGGAGTTAAAAGTTCTCGCCGGGGTTGCATGTTTTAACAAAGCTGCATGTCACTCTTTTATTGGCATTTACATGGTTAAATATGTATGTGTCTACTGGTTGATGTAAACCTTGAACTCACCATGCTATTTAGCTGACTACAGTATATATCTCAGGAGCAGGAGGTTCGGGAATCGGTAAAGGCAAAGGCACGCTTAAGATTCCTATTTTCTTTTATTTCAATTAATGCAATCGTTTTAATTATTTCGAAGAATGTTTGGATTTGGATTTTAGTCTTCCCTTATAAACGGGTTTTTTTTATTGGTGTAATTTTTAGAGTTATTAATGACGAGTTTTTAGATGACGTAACATTTCATTTGGCAAAACAAAAAGGGGTGTTACATGAGTCATGTGTGATCACCTATCACTCAGCCATCCCTGAATGTGTGTATTTGGTTGTCGTTGATTGATCTTCAGCTATCGCTGAATGTGTGGTATTCAGTTGTCACTAATACTGTCTTCAACTATCGTTGAATGTTTTCAGCTTATCGCTGAACTTAGAATCATAGCTGAACACAAATATTCAGCTGTTGCTAAATTATTGTATTCGAAAACTACAATCTGATATGATTCTTAAGTATTTATATCTTATTCGAAATTACAGTCCGTAACATAACTTTTCCAAAGGTAATTATTATATTTGCATTAAAGGAAGTTGTTAAATATATATATATATAGGGGAGCGATCAAATGCAAACCACTCAATTTGTACAAACCGTGCAAACCGCATTCAACCAATCATAAT